ACGTAACGTAACGTAACGTAACGTACGTAAGTACGTACGTAGTACGTACGTAGTAGTAGAGAGAGAGAGAGAGAGAGAGAGAGAGAGAGGGGGAGAAGGGAGAGAGAGAGGGGGGGGCTTGCTTAGGCACCTGCAGGAGCTTACCCCTAATTATGATGTACAGGTTAGACAAAAAGATAACACAGACTTATGATAAGATCGAGAAGATGAAGTTGAATATGGCCATTAAAGAGGATCTGAAGACTGTTGCTCTGGGCACATCTAAGATCAACTACCTTGACCCCAGAATATCGGTTGCGTGGTGTAAGCATCATGAAGTTCCTATTGAGAAGGTAAGAATTCTTCCTTTTGTGTGTGTGTTCAGGCATGTGTGTGTGCATGTACGTGTGCGTGCTTGCATGTCTCCCTATCTGTCGGTCTCTGTGTGTGTGTGCATGTGCGTGCATTGGTGTGTGTGCCTGTGTGCATGTTCTTTGAAAAGAGTAGGGCAGCAACTCAAAAACCAATTTGTGTGTGTGTAGTTTGAAAAGAGTAGGGCCAACACTGGAAAACCTGAAATTGATCATCTTCGCCTAGTCAATCATGGATCTAGAAAAAAAGGATTTGAAGCCCTAAAATGGTACTTCTTGTGACGCATTAGCTGTCCACATAGAAGCACTAAATTTGCATTATATTTTGAGCTTTAAATTTTATAATTAGGGGCAGAGATAAACTTTAAAGCCATCATAGGGATTTCCAAGGCTGTTTGCTTAGGAATTTGAAGATGTGGTCCTACTTTTTTGAGTGTATGTATGTATGTATATATTGAGATCGAGAGTCCCATTCATGACTTCTTTATTTTATTCTGTAATATTTTGTCTTTGTAATTCTCTCTCACTCCACCTCAGATATTCAACAAATCCTTGCTGGCGAAGTTTGCATGGGCCATGGACGTTGATCTGGATTATAGATTCTGATTGAATATGAAAACACAGAATCTCTTTCCCCCCCCCCCGGCGGGCCTGTTCTCTCTCTTCTGTAATTCTTTCTCGTCTAGGGGAGATCTCCTGTTATTCAGGCACTGTATGACTGCCCAATTGCAGTTCTGAGTATTTAGTCAGAGGGAAATCCCTCCCCTTAATCATCAAATGTCATGTACAACTTCTATCTACAAAAAGTAGTGCATGTGAAATTTCCCATAATCTCAAATATTTGTTGAATCGAGGTGCTTCTGTAAATATGTTTCTTCTCAAATCTGTGAGGTTGTCCCAATTTGAATGAATTTGTCTGAAATCAAGGGTTTTCTAGCGGGTATTTAGAGTGGTCGTAACCAAAAGGTAAAAAAATGACATGAAAGTAGGGGTGGCAACAGGTCGGACTCGGATCTGGAGCTGGATCCGAAAAAATGATATGGGATTCGGATCCGGACCCGGGCCTGATCAGACCCAACCTAAAAATTGCAGAATATCTATGTATTTAACTATATTCAGATATATTTCACATTTTCGGACCTGAAAAATATTTATATTTTTTGAAGTTATATTCAAATATATTTCATATTTTGAAACCTGAAAAGTATTACCGGACTTGGATAGTGTCTGGGTCCAAGATTTGGACCCGGACCTGACTTGTTAGGTCCAATTTTTGCACCCATACCCGGAAAAGGATCGGCTCTACCCCTTGAGTCCCTGGTTGGGTTCAGGTCCATTGCCGGCCCTGCATGAAGGGCGGTAGTTGCAAAAATTTGGTGTGTTAAAAAATCTTGGGCAAGTGGAAGCAAGGATGGCCCTGCAAATGACACCACCATGAGAGTGCCATTTCCAGAGGATTTGCATGGGCTAGGGTTGAACCATTAGATACCTTCTACTAGGGTCTAGGGCTGGCAATGGGCCAGCAGCCCAGCCCGGCCTGCCCTGTCCACCCATCGAAGACTATTCTTGGGCCATAAAATAGGCTTGAGGGCCGGGTCAGGCCCAGGCCACCACCATGGCCCGACAGCCAGGCTGGGGCCAGGGCAGAGATAGGGTCGATGCTTTTTTTTTTAATTTATAATCTCAAATTGGACACTGATTTGATAAATTTAAGCCTCTCTGAAAATTGTGAGAAGCTAATTGAAAACCTTGGATTTTCAGGGAGCTAGGGGGAGAACCAGGATTTTGAGGTTATGGCTGGGAGTGTGTCTCTGGTTAGCTTGGCAAATAATCATGAACAAAGGCTCACCAAGAAAGAGCCTCCCCACAGACCCACACTATCTTGTCAATCCCCATTCTTGAAATGAATTGCCTCCAAAGGAGGTTGAGCAAGGATTTCAACAGCCTGGGAATCCTGATAGAGGATATTGCTCCTAAAACTAAACGGTCCAGATCAGATGTCTCCCCATCTGTTCATAAGGTTGGGCATTATAGCATTGGGCAATGTAGCATCTTGAATTAGAGCCAGGGAGAATAATCTTGGGTATTTATACATTATAGGGGATTCTTTCCGAGCTCGAGTCCTTCTGTAACCAAGTCTTCTCTCCAATCTTGGCCATTAAAGGATCGAACTCGACATAGAACAAAACAATCTTTTGCAGGCGTTCGGGCCATGCATTTGCATAGCCCCAACTATGCCTGCCATAAGTATCAAGCCCATAACTATATCATACAACGAGCTGCCGTAGCCTTCTTGGTTCGCAGCCATTAAGACTGCCTAGCAGCGCAGTGTCACTGGTCCTAAGTTTCCAATGGCCATCCCCTCACTGATCAACTCAGAGATTGTTTTTGAACTAAAACAAATCCCAAGCAAAGCAAGTTTTATCACGTTGATCTTAAATTCCTACTTTGAAGCATTTGAGAAGCAACCGCAGTTTGTCGACTTGTTTTAGTATCATAAAATACTAAGGCAAAATACTGAGGTACCACCTGCATACAGGTGGGAGATGGGCCTTCCCAAAACGGGAGATCTGACGCCTTGGAGCTTAATACTATGTAATAGGTTTGAAATGTATTTGCTGTGTCATATGTATCCCTTTTGTTTGGTACCATATCTATGCTGGACATGTATCGGCACATAAAGTCACGTTTATTTTTTTCTGTTTTTTGGTTTGTTCTTGCTTATTAACCATCATTATTTAAATTTGATTTTCATTTTTGTTTTGAGTAGACGTGATCTTTGAAAAAATCAATGGAATTTCGATAATATCCAAAGATTCAGCCAACTAAAGTATAGTTGGAAAGGGGTTGGGATCGGGATGGCAGCACCCCACACCCTAGTTTTCATTCCCACTGACACCATTACACTAACACCTTTTAAAAAGATTTTTTTAGGTAAGTCAAAAACACCTTTTAACACCTTTTAAAAAGCTAACGCCCACATCTTGCACTTAACAATAAAGATTGGATCAAGGCATAGGTAGTCAGGTGGTTGATACCATAGGAGGACATCTTACGCTTCTTTCTTACCACGGATAAGGAATCCATACCCACTGAACTATTTAAAACAAAAAGGTTGATACCATAGCAGGACATCTTACGCTTCTTTCTTACCACGGATAAAGAATCCATACCCACTGAACTATTTAAAACAAAAAAAAAAAGAAGAAGCACTTAACAACATATCTAAATCAGGGAAAATCTGGACTGTCATTCATTTAGTGGGACACAAAGCCCAATAGCATCCATTTGCTCAACAACCCATTTCTCTCCTTCTTCAATCCTAAATACGATCAGTGGACGGGACATGGCAGCACTTGTTGTGAAGGCATAATTGATTTGCGGAGCGGCGAGCAAACGAGATGAGACTTAGACCCAAGTGGGACTCGAGCAGTGAAGGCAGCGTAACTGAACACTCGTCTTAATGCGCCTAGCTTAGTCAGGAGACCGAATCCAGCAACTGATCTATTCATTATAATATTGTCCAGCAAACAGGGTCTTAGTGATTAATTAGGCCTTTGGCTCTTGAAAATAATATATTTTTATAAATGAAATTTGGAATAAAAACGTAACCATTTTGGTACCATTCTTTTGTATATAGACACAAGGATACTGTAGGCATTTAAGCCACAGCAGAATATAGATTCCATTATTGTCAACTTATTCTTCTCCTTAGCATTAAAAAATAAAAAAAACTTATTCTTTCCGTCCCTATCTTATCCACTAAAAGAATCCAAGCATTAAATAATAAAGCCGAAGAAAACATAATTTACTCTCCAAAACTTATGAAATAAAAAACAAAGGCATCAGTACGCTGTATATTGTAGAACAATCATCAATAAAAAGGCATCTTTCCCTATACCAAATTGAATATATTTGGGACCCAAAATACCATGAAGCTGCATAAAAGTTGTTCGTAGCCACCCCCCAGAGTTTATTATAAACTAATACATCAAAGGAAGACATGTAGCTCTCAAAAGGACAGGACATGGCTCTGCAAATTCAAAAACCCAAGTAAGTTCTTTAAATTTCATATACTTTCATCTATATTTTCATGCATGGAAAATAAATACAAGTAAAGTTTTGGTGGTCTTGAGATACCACCACCATCCCATGTTCCCATGCTTGAAAATAGAGGAAAAAGATGAGATATGCTGGTTGAACCATTCATTTAGCCCATTGGACCTCGTATGTTGAAAAACATATATCAGCCATAGAATCTCAGGTTCGAATTAAAAATATCGGCTGATAAGAGAGCAGAGGAAAAGAAAGAAACAAAAAAAAAGAATCATACTGTAAATATTTGAAAATAAAGAAAGTTAAAAAAAAAGGCCTAGCCAATTTGTTTGGGTTTTTCACCTTTAGAAAGAAAAGTTTGTTTGAGCTTTTGGGACAAAATTTAGGGCAATTGAATATTGGTATCTATCATCATCCCAACTTTATCTATCCTAATTATTTAGGGCGACACCTTGACATCCTTTACCCCACCAGAAAATAGGCAAGGAGATTTTTCTTGTAGTGCCGTTCTTCTCGTGTGAAAATATTTTAAGATTGTATCAACTCATCGCTAATATTCAATAAAAATTGATGTGGATCCCCCTAAATTGCTCCAAATCTAATAACCCCTCATAAGGGTCATTCATCAAGGGGAGGGTGAATCAGATCTAGTTCAATATTAAAAATTCGAACAAAAAAAAATGTACCTAACCATGAGTGATGATAAAATGTAAAAATTCCGTCGGTTAAACTTTTTGATGGAAAGTAAAATTTGTTAAATATCAATCTGAAAATGGATGATCTCTGCACATCTTTGAAAATATTAAATAAATGAAGAGTTCTATTCAACTTTTTTGTTTTTTTTTTTTTTTAATGGTAAATGGTTTTGCGTGGCCAGGCTGCATTTACGCTGTCCAAAATTGAACAACCTAGATGCATTGTGTCCTTGCAATCTCCACCGTCCAATTTAGTCGCACTGATGCAGAGACCAGTCTCACCCACATAAAAACTAAAAAACCATCTCCATTTTTTTTATTAACATTAGGAGGAGGTATTGTGCCTTTATAAAAGGGTCTGGTTCTCATAGAGCTGAGGTTCTAAACAGTAAAAGTAAGGCGCACCTTCCAAGAGTGTCGAGAAATGTGGTTTCAATAATGGGAAATTTTTGTGAAAGCCTTAAAATATATTTTTATCTCTAATTATAAAATTTAAATCTTAAAAAATAGTGTAGACCGAGTAAATCTATAAAAACTTGAAAATCTTGAAAATTGACGGTCCAAAAATGCATTATAAGATGCACTATTTCCAAAACTTGAAATCCATTTTTTTTTCTTATATCAATGCATCTTGATGTCGAGATGATCAATTTGAAGATATTTGAACATCAAAACTTCTTCTTCTAATGAAATTTTTGATGTGGGCTCTAATTTGGTTGTTTTGAGCCTCGGCTCTATATAAACTATTTTCTTAATTTTAACCCCTCACTTCTACAAAGGGTGGTGAGAACTCCACATTATTCTCTATATGTGATATTTATGATACACATAAATTATCCTCTTTCCTTCCTATTATCCATGATAAAATCATCCCCATGTAATACACAAGTATTTGTGAATAATTTTTTGTGTCGACGTACCAAGGACATGAGTCGTGTTCAATACTTTAAAAGCTTAGATGTTTTCGAAACTTTAAATTGTATGTCACTCTGGCCTCCATCACCATCGAACCATTCACTGGATGGAGATGACACTCATGGCATGTTGTTGCCAAAACCTACGGATCATGGTAACCTTGTCCACTTATTGAATTTTCGGATGAATATTTCCCTAAAC